TCTCGACCATAAGGACCATTCACTAATCCGACAGTCTGTAGGAATACAGGAMGGTGGACGCTTGCTATCAGCTTCATGTTGYATCAGAATGACAAGAAGCAATAGATGTACTGCTTGTGACATCATGATCAGGCAATTCACGCAATTCCTGAAAACCCGAGAAAGAGATGAATTTGAAGATTTGAATATGTGGACCGCATAGTATACATAAAATGAAAATAATAGAGAGTTATAGTGCTTAGAAGTAGGTTATTCCGGGCGAAAGATTTTTTTACGAATTTATAAGGGTTTTYGCTTGGATCGAATAACCTCCTTCTAAGCATTATAACTTTCCTTTATTAATTAAGAGATAATTATTGAGGCACGCAGCAGGTATCATGTACTAGATAGCTGAGAGCGCAGCATTATGAATTGCCACTATTTATATTTCAACCAGTTGATGAGTTGCAACATAACAACATTGACCTGTGATTTGTTGTCAGATCGCATCGCGTATGGAGCTTTGGTCGCCGTGAACACCATGAAGGAAATCTTTTCAATGAAGGCAAATTTTTCTTGTTAAGATTACTTGTCTCCTCATTCACACATGTCTGATGGTATCCGAAAATTTCGTAAACGCTGTTTGCAGTGGATATGCCTGAAAATAATTCGATTCAGGGTACGCAAAAAATGTGTATCTGCAACAGGTTTAGYAATGTATTGGATGATAGGGTAGGTGTAAATCAAACCTTTTAACCTTAAGCTGACAATCACTGAAAATATTACGGCTTAAACGGATTAGATCTTTCCACATTCCAGAGTGCAACAAAAGTAATAAAACATCMATTGATACGCAATGAACGATCATAAATTCTTCTATCAATACAATTCACCTTTGATGAATCTGGTAGAAATAAGTCGTCCCTTTAGCTCTTTAAGATAACCAGGGAGTATTTTTATATTTATCTCCAGCTCACATTAAATTGCAAGTGGACATGACTTTAAATATTAAAAAAGAATAAATGAATGACAGTGATTGAGAATGTAACGATCATTGGCTAAAATCATATTTTTGACATTTCAAYTGAATAAAGGTGCGGTCAAACTAAGGAAGTCGTTGAMAAGTAATTGTTATCGACATGTGCGCTTAGTAATATTGAACTGAAACTGAAAGAATTCAGGAGTCAATTTGTCCAGCTGCAATGAGGATATTGKTACATTATTTTGAGTGGGYAWGTTTCATTTGGGTGAAGCGATCGTGGAATTTTCTCTTTTATGTTACTGAAACTCAGTACATTTATTTACTTTGATTTGGACATTGAGCATATTGAATAACAAGCTTCTGTACGAAATACCGTTTCCATAGGAGTGATTGTTACTATTACTGAAAGTGTTAAATTCATACCAGGGACGGATCCAGGGGGAGTAGATTGGGTAGCTAGCCATCCCCCTCTTTAATTTGAAAAAAAAAATAAAGGCTTAAAGTTTTGAAAAAAATGACAGGATTATTGTATAACGGAAAATATGTATCATTACTTCGAAAAAAATATAGAGTGAGAAAAACTGTTTGATGTAACTTATGTTTATATATTCATAAATATCTTTCATACAAAAGTTTGTTGAAAAGTCCTAAATATTATAGGTGTGCCAGAGATATATAAACCTATACGCAAAATAAGAAATAAATCGAATACACGGATAGATATGTCCTTGGGATAGCGAAACAAAGGACACAGGAATCGTAATTGTGAAAAACTGAAAGCCCAAGCAATATGATCGCGTCCCCCAGAGAGTGCGCGCGCAAATGTACAATCGTATTGACTTACAATCTAAAAACTAAGCAATAGCCAGTTTTTATAGCCGATTTCAAAGATATATAAACTAAGGAGCTTGGTCAGCTATATAYCGACACAGGGCTAACATCAAACCTTGATATATTTCATCGATTTTATTTASCTCTAACGCTAATTTACACTTTGACACTTTGGAAATAACGATATTAAAAAATAATTAACTCATTCTTCATTTATAGTTCCGTTTAATAGTTTGACATCTTTATCTTTCAGTTTAGCTGAACCTGGAAAGAAGAGAAAAAAAACATAAAGAACATAAATCAAATAACTTACAACAAAATATAAAAAATGAGGGAAGGAAACGAGATTGTAGTGATCCAAATTAATTTCTAATTGCCGAATTTTACAACACTGAGACTTTTTGAYTGTCATTGAGATACGGCCTTTCAAAACATAATAGTGATAATATTATCTAACAACACCTTTTTTTCATTGCTATAGGTTTACAAGCTTATAGTATATTCACCGAAATAATACTTTTTCATTGGTCGAGATGAGTACAATAACAGCGTTTATAATTGTTCTCCTTATAAAATTTTGTTTCACTGAATGTACTATGACAAAAAATCGCACAACCTCTCGTACAATTTGGAATTAAATTGAACTCGCACTATCGGGCTCGGGCAATTACGAAGACTTTCAAAACATTACTTGTGACTATTAAATTGTACTCAAGTTCGTGTGATTTCCCGTATAAAACGTATAATTTGTGCATCGTTAGAAGGTAGAAATTGTACTGGCGTTCTCSTTAATCAAGAATTTTCAGCTTTTGCTGTCTTTGAAAAAAGGTGTTTACAGCCGTGATGATTCTTAACAATCATAACGTCTATGTGTTGACGTTCCTGGAATCTCACCTTCTTCAAATACGGTAAACATAGTTCACCCTTGCTTTACCAACACATTCTTGTGGCTTGTCTTTGTTGCACGGAGTGAATTGTTTTCCGATGACCTGGACAGTGTCACTGGTATCCGCGGTACCATACTTGTTAAAGGTTTGTTGTACTGAAGGGCCACTCCAACATTCTCCATAGTACTGCAGGCCGAACATTTTCCAACCCCTTTCTCTTACCAGTGTGGAGCATCGACAAGCCAAACTAGTATATATAAAAAAAGAATTAGTATAACTATCATGAAAATGTTCTTCCATGGGCGGATCCAGGTGGTGGGGTTGGGTTGGGTTGGGGTGGTGGATTAATTTGAAAAAAAGAATAAGGGCTTAAAGTTTCGAAGAAAAGAAATTAAATGGCAGGATTATTGTATAACGGAAAATATGTATCATTACTTCGAAAAAAATATAGAGTGAGARGAACTGTTTGATGTAACTGATGTTTATATATTCATAAATATCTTTCATATAAAGRWTTGTCCGAAACCTTTAGTCCGAAATATTATAGGTGTGCCCGAGATCATGATAAACGATAATTTCACATGAGCCTAAAGAGTCAAATTAATTGTAACGTACTTTAATATTAAATTTTATATTAGCCACCCTCCTCTGAAAAATCCTGGATCCGCCCCTGTCTTCACAAGTGCCACCATGATCGCTAGCTTGGTTGATAATGCGTGCGTCCGAGTCAGACTACAGTATGGTCAGAAGGCTAGTTATGTATCCTCATACCCTCATAAATGATTTTGTTCTACCTGTGAATGTAGTCCTCAAATTTGTTCCAGTCAATCTTATGTCCATCATTCTTTTTGCTRGAGCAGTCTCTGTCAGTGATCAGCAGCAYTGGGAACGCTCTGTTGCTAATTCGCTCTTTGAATGCACCAACTTTGGCATAGTTTCTACCACACCTGGTGTTTGGCAGATATCCACCATCGCATGAAGGAGACACAGATGCTTAAACAACACGACAGAAAAGTTTTGCTACAGCGTAACATCTAGCAAGTGTACCTTCTTGGGGAAACCCAAAGTGTTCACTAAAAAGATGTTCTACTCTATTACATATCTAAATAATTTAAAATCGATCGACTTCTACAAAAMCTTTACATCTCAGGTCTGCAACTAGGAATTTTACAGTTGAATTCACAAAATAATTATATAATGACGCATAATAAAGCGGTTACTCGTCAGTGGCACCTTGTACTGGTATTCGTAGGTACTTCACTTATGGTATTTGAAAACTCCCCAACCCTAGCGCCGCTCCCATGGGTTAGGGTTACGGTTAGGGTTAGCGTTAGGGTTAGGGTTAGAGGAGTGCATGGGTGTGCTAGGGAGCGCTAGGAAGCGCTAAAGTGAAGTGCTTGTTGGTCGAGTTTTCAAGTACCATAAGTCAAGTAACTACCCTGATATTACATAAACACAGAGACAAGATTGAAAAATGTATTAATTATTACACTTACTTGTTGGGTTCAAGGTAGTTGGTTCGGCTTAAAAAATACATAATGGAATGCATGTAAAAAACACTGACTGAAATCCATCATATATAATAAAATTCACTTACAAATACCTGTTGTCGGTGCAGTGGTCGGTATCACTGAAAGTAATTAAATGTAACTTTACGGAGATTTTATGAAAGAGTGATAAATTTAGAAGGCGTTGAAAAAGAAGGTATGAATATCATAATTATTAAGAGGGTATGCTTATGAAATCAGAAACAAAACGAATTACAAGAAGTTCCTTAATACAGTTATTTCGGACGAAATCCAACATCCATCGTCAGTGTATAACAAGTTAACAAATTTAAATAAAATAAAATATGGAATCAGCCAATCAAGTGRTRTTGCAAGAATTTTCGATAAAAACCAAAAGCGTAAACCAGCATAAACAAAACAACAAGAACAACAAAACACAAAGGATTATTAAATTTCTTACAGCGGAAATCGTTGCATCGCGACCTCTTTGTTTTGAAGTTTGTCTGGATTTTGTTCTCTCTTTCAATCTGAGGGGCGGAGCTTTTCGAAAGCTCGTTCAATCATTGGCTGATTAGTATCAAGCTCCGCCCCCAAGTCGCAGAAAAAACTAAATCCCAAGTATTTTCTTTGAACATCGAAGTCGCGATGCAACGGTTTCTGCTGTAATTTACTTGTTTTAATAATATTTTGAAATGTGTTTCTAAGAATATTTTGATTAAAATTAGAATATTTTGATAGATAGAATGAACACGTTTCTATCAAAGTCTACGCAAAACTCACAACATTTATGATTGTTTTGTTGAAGTAACTTACCAATTTCACAACAAGTTCCTGTAAAACCTRCTTTACATTTGCAGTTTGTTGCTGCAGGTGTGCCGCCATTTTGACATGCATTTCTGTTACACGCCCTTCTTTCACTGAGATGATATGGACATTGTCCACCACAAGATGCTGCTTTAAGTATGCTTCTACTTCGAGACTGTATTCCTGAATACCCGCATCGGTGTGTGCATCCTGACCATTGAGACCATTGGCCGACCTGGCAGTTTGCAGGGCGACAAGGAGGCGGTTGACGACGTCGTCTTCTTCTGCGACGCCAGCCATYAGTTTCATGTAGTATTAAGATGATAAGAAGCAAAAGAAGAACTGCTCGTGATGTCATGATATCAGTCACGTTGAACCACATGGGAAATATACCTACAAAACAACGAATTATTAGGAATATCAGCAACAGGTAAATTTGGAGCCTGTTTTTGTGTACACAAAAAACAATTGAAGAGGTGATGGGACAATTRCAACATGACGACAAGGCAAAGTCTGATACTTAAAATTAACGATCCCTGTTTATAAAACTTATCTAAGGTGACTTAGTATATATAGCTGTAGAAGTACCCTCTATCTCTAAATTCAGGTAGGATAAGGCAAATTTATGCAACAAATAGAACAATATTAGATAGACCTTCAGTGAGTCTCCTGATTTCTCCGACTGACTCAGACGATGCTTACTCGACTTTAAATGCTATAAATTCTTAACAGTAATTGACAAGCAAATCTAAACCATTATTGGTTAAAATAATGTTTTTGGCATTAGCTGTGGCCGAATAAAGGAAGTTCTTGTCAAATAGCCATCAACATGAGCTGAAGCTAGAAAATCAATATTTTAGTAACTTTGAAATGAAACTAAAAGTATTTTRAAAGGCGTCCTTTTGTCTAAGAAAATATTAATGCATTTGAAGAAATATTTCATTTTAGTAAAGATCGAATTCGCG